TTTTTTTTTTTTTTTTTTTTATTTGAGCTAATGTTTTATTGGTTTGACTAGTCAATTAACCCGATTTATCTGCTATTATTTTTTCCTTTCTTTTATAATTGGTAAAATTATACTGAATAATAAATTTAATTTTGCATTTGTATGAAAAACATCTGTCTTAAATAGATCTTAATACCTCTAAATATTAATTTCTAGTCCTCACTTAAAAAGGATATCGCCTCTTCACCCCAAAAAAAAAAACCTGAGTTAATTTTTTGTAAATTGAAGTTTATTTTTAATTTTTAGCACTTATCTTCTTTATATATAATTTAAAATAATTTTCTTGGACGGCCACTTTTTAACAGAAGTATCTTAAGTATTTTTTTTTATTGAAAATTCTTTTAAGAATTTTTCTTAACCACTTGTATCTTTTAATCTTTTATTTTTTAAAATTAAATTCCAATATTTTTTTAGAAAAATACAAATAATTAAAATAATCTCTTATCCTATTATAAGTTATTTATCGCAAGTATTTATTTATTATATATATTTTAATTATAATTTACATATTTAAAAATATTTTTTATTTACATAAATCTTATTTATATAAATAACATTTTATCTTAGACTAGAATACTAACTTATTATTACAATTGATATCCTCTATTTTATTTATAGTATTATGTATTATATAAATAATTTTTATTACAAAAAAGTGAATGACTCATGTGTCGACCCATTTGATTTGTGGCTTGCGATGACGAGACTGAGAAAATTTTAGTTCATTTTTAAGGGTGTGTTTGAATCACATTTACATCCAACTGAACTCACAATGAATCCCAATCAATCGCTCATATTATTTTTTTTGTTTGTACATCATAAAGTGATAAACTTCCGTTCAGCATTAATGTATTTTCAGATACACTAAATTAGCACCGCTCAACTTAACTCAAAAATGTGTTAACATGTGGTGGTCAGCCAAAATGACCTAGCAGTTCAAATTAATAGTCCGAAATATAGCTATCATTAACTACATTCATGCTAATCATTATATACTTTATATAATAATCCAATAAAATGATCAAGCTTATACAAGTCGTTGACTTTAATTACCTGAAAAACAAAGAAAATAACATTTATAACATTTAATTGGGATGTGTTCAAGATCTTATAGCATATTTGTTTACACGTCTATAACGTGGTTTCTTACGCTCACAAAGTTATCTGTTGTTTGTATTTCTCTTATAAAAGAAGAAAAAACTATTACTTGTATGTACTTCTCTTTTGCATGCAATTCCCTCGAAAAACGAAGAGGGGAGATTCAGAGAATGACTTTGGTAGCTCCAAAATCACTTTTTATCAAAATGTATCATTGTATTGTATGAGATGTATGGATACTTTATTACGTATAGATTTTGCATTCCACCATATCTGTGCGGAGAATACTATGATTTCTACCACAACGCATGAAATACTATGATGCATGCATATATATGACGTACGAATGCAATATGTAACTGATACAACAATACAATTATTTTCAAATATATTTGATACGATACGAATGTAACTATACAACAATACAGTTATTTTCAGATATATAAGAAAACGATGTGTAAGATATGACTTAAATATCTGTCAATAGTAATAAAATATAATAAATATATAATTACAACTTTACAAATCCAAATTAAAAACACATTTTTGTACATTACTAAAAATAAAATAAAAATCATTAACTATTGTCATCATAAATTACTTCCTAGTATTTATAAATAGAAAATGATACTATTAATCTTTTTTTTTTTCTTAAATCATTAATAAAGAAAACAATTTCTATTTTTTTCATCAAGGAACAAATTTTTTTTTATATTTCTGTATTATATATTTTAAAAGTTAAGATACTTCAGTGATACACATTAGTATCCAAGATAATTGAAATTCAATAAAATTTTCGTAACTATTTAAAGGCTTGGATACTTGCACGAATCAGCAAAATATCAGAGAGTATCAATGTTAGATACGTAAAGCATACTGAAGTGCATGTACTTCATATAGATGAAATATCCTCTACATATATAGTGAAAGCATACTACATATAATGAAGAGTGAAAGCATTCTACATATAATATGATGACAAAGTATATTACAAAGGATACAGCAAATTCTTAAAAATTCAAGATACAATACGGCCTAAATACATGAACACGAATTTAAAAATAAATAAAAATACTCACATGAATGCATAATATTTGTTAATAGTCATTGATATTTTCTAGTTAGAAAATAATAAACAAGTGAAGTAAATGACGAAGACAATACTTTGATTATAACAAAAAAAAATTATATATATTTCCATTACCCATATCAAAATACAATTTTCTCCTATGAACATGTGACAAAATTCCCCCCACCTAGCTATGTCAGAATATCATTAAAAGCATCATTAGTCACAATCAAAAGAAATGGTTAACCCTATATTGAAAAGTGCATTCAGGTTACTTAACCTAAAAATCTATCAGAAAAGCTTTACAAAGGCACACTGTATTTGAAGCAGAAAGCAACATTAAGCTCTTGCTGCCTGCATATATCTTTACAGTTTACACAACATGTGTGCATCTAGATTGTACTGATTTCAGAAACTGAAAATCCATTGAATTTTAATGAAATACAACAAAGACTAAACTAAACAAGGCATGCTCAGATTTTTACTTTGATGATAGCTGGAAAATCCATCCAGCTTCATGGCTTGTGAACTTTGAAACCAAAAACTCTGGGCACATAGTTCTGTGATGGCTTTTGTGGCTTCAGATTCCCATAAGTCATCAGAAAGAGGTGAGGAAATGTAGCTCCAAAATAAGCCCCATCAATGTCTAGACACATTTAAGAAAATTTGCGTATAAAATAAAGGATATTATTTCCCCCAATAAATAAAATTGAAGCCAAAATCATATGGCAGAACACACAGTAACACGCAGTCACATTTTTTTTTTCAGGATCTTGTTAGTAATGAGAAAATCTCAACGAAATAAGATTACAAAAGTTTTAAACAAATTAATTTATTATCTGAGTTAAAGAAATCACCATATAAGAAATCAAGCAAATCTTTGTAACCTAGGATAAATTTGTTACCACTTATTTCTCTATAAATTCAGACAACTACTACATAAAAAATGTGAGAAAAAAAATAACTGCCAGTTTCCAGTTCTTTTCTATTATGTTTTTATTTTCAAAGCATTAAGTTCAGAAATTTCAAAAAACTGTCCTTATAATCAAGGGGTACGGCAGAAGAACTTGTCTTGATCTAGCCAAAAGAAACTTCGCAGATATAATATCAAAAACAGTCTAGTCTAGACACGGCCTACTACATTACTGCTCACATGTCTGTAACAAAGGCATTCATTATAAGATACTTTATGATGTGTTCGAGTTTCCATCCATATTATTATGGCAAAAAGAAAAAATACTTCCAAAGGTGCCCCATTCGTGAAATTCAACAGATAGATATAATATCATGTTATTATTTCCCTAATAATCTTATTTCATATATGACAGGTTAGCGTCAAAATACCAGAAGCAACAAATCCAATTAAAAAAAAAATCCTTTGAGAATAAAGCATAGTCTTTCTTGTATGGGTGTGACAAATGAATGGATAACATAATTTTTTAGGCTAATCATAATGGATCAAATAAAAATAGTTTATTAATCCATTTAAATCCATTAAAAAAATCAATTCAATCCATTCAAAGTAAAGATTTCATTCAATCTATCCATTAACAATTTTTTTATGGATGGATATCCAATCCATTCATAAAAATGTTTTTAAAATTAAATAATCTTCATTTTTGAAATATTTTATTTCTCTTTCTTTTCTTTAAGTCATTACATTCTTATATAATCTTTTAAAATTCACAAGACTTTTTTAAATGTCAAAATAGTCTTTTAAAATCTCAATCCAATAAACATCTCATATTGTAATTTAATAAATTTTGAAAAAGTAGTGGATAGATCATTATCAATCCATAAAATTAAATGGATGGATTGAAGTCGATCTATTATTTATTTTTATTGTAATGAATGGATTGAATGCATTTACTTGTAGATGGATCAAATAGATGATAGATAAAATGATTTATTTGTCACTCCTATTCTTGTGTTACTAGCTCATCCAAGTAAAAGAAAGGTTAAACTATTCACTTAGTTCCTATAGTTATTTTCATTTCATGTTTTAGTCCTTATGCTAGAAAATGATAACTTTTAGTCCCTACAGTAAATATGAGACTTAGAAAATGATAAATTATACTGTCTTTTGGTATTATCGATAAGGACCAAAACTTCTATACATATGTAAGGACTAAAACTTGCATTTTTTTGTATAGGGACTAAAACTTAAAATGTGGACAACTATAGGAAGCAAATAAATAATTTAACCTAAAAGAAATCTTTTGTAAATTATTGATGAGTTCCTTTTCTTATTCTTATTGATAATTAAACCATGCATGAGAAGACCTTGGGATCAACAGATTCAACACGTTTTCTTTTCTATTTTATAATTTAGATACCAATACAAAAAGAAAAAAAGCAACAAGCAACAAGCAGGGCAGGTAAATGTAAGAGAAAAGTGAAAAGCTCAAAAGCCTGAACTTGATATGGCATCCAACAAATTACAACCTTATTCAACAGACCAATAAAATAGGAGTTCTAGAAAGCAACGATAAAAGCGCATAGATGGAGGAATAACAATATTCAAATTTTCAAAAGACAGAAAAAATAGTTGACAGGAGTTCAACAAGGCACTTGAAAGGATACTACCTTGATACTTGGACTTTGGGTAGCAAATGTCTTCACACTTGGGGCAATATATTTTTACAGTACTTGACCTAGGAACATCTGACTGGCCAACAGGAAGGCAGGGTTGTCCAGAGCAGTAAACTCTCGGACATCTGCCAAAGTCGTAGTTCTTGTACTTGTGCAGCTGCAGATAATCCAATGTCATGTACCAGAGCCAACTTTCTCCAGAATACAGCATCAAAAAACAGGATAACTAGGAGAAAATCATACCATTGCAGCCATTCCCTTGCTTGTCAAAATGTAACGGGCATGAATCAGACCATAAAGCATCTCTGCTGCAGATTCAATTAACTCATTTTGCTCCTCCGTGAACATGTCTCCTAATTAATGAACCAACAGTAGCAGTCAGTCAAGCAATAGCAGAATGGCTAAAGAGGTCATAGCAGTGTACAACTTGAATTCAGGCATCAAAGTGGGGAGATTTTGCATTACTTTAGTCAGAATACAGTGGTAATAAGAGATAAACAAGCATTTTCAATATCATCACAATACAGAATAAAAATTGAATTCAAGTAAGAAAAGAATAAGCTTACCGTGGGAGGGCTCAACATCCAAAATTAAATCAAGTGCATAATCATAGTAAGGCACTTGACTACTTAATCCACAGAGGTTGAAATCATCTTGTATGAAATCATCATCAACCTCGCAAAAGAATTCATTTCCTCTCAAATTGCAAAACCATGAGATCCAAGACGTGTCCTCCCCTTCTGAACCACTAACATCTGATCCCTCAATGTCTGTTTCAGATTCCTCTTCTGCAGCCAATACATAAAAAATAAAGGTCAGCTAATTCAAGTCAGTCCCAGTTGTTCTATACCAAGTAATTTTGTTCTCTCCAAAACTCTTCCTTGCTCTATAATTGTCAGTTCCCACCAGCAGCAGCCTCATTTGCACAACAGGTCCATTCCATCCCGCTTAGGTGAGTCCCCGAAAAACTTACATTTTCCTTTTTCTTTTTTATCTTGTAGACCCAACAATTTTGAAAAGGTTGCAAATAACGAAAAGCAATTTAATTCAAGTTTAGGTAAAATTCTTCACCGAGCATGTAAACATTAAAGTTGAAAACCAGCAGATATTAGACAATTCTGTCTCCCTCTTTTTTGACTTCCAATAACATCCCTTTCAATTTCATTTTCAAGAATGAAATTTTGATGATGGGGTTTCCACAGAGATGGAATTAGTGGTATTTGTTATTAATTAATAATTAATAATAGCACGAGCAAAGCCAACTAAGAGAAATCATTCTATGCAACCTTCCATTCCGTAATTACCATAGACAGCCATGAAACATAGAAACGAGGTTACGTTCAATTGATGCATTCTAAATGTGTGTGAAGGCGACGTTTCACAAGGTGATTTTCTTTTTTCCTTTAATAAATGAAAATGAAATAAAATGGTTGTATTAGGGATAATTAAAAACAGAAAGCACGAAGGATTGATGGTAGAGAGAGAGAGAGATAACCACCGTATTGAGCGTTAGGGAGAGAAGCACAGCGACGGTGTGGGTTGTTTGGCCTTGTGGAGGAAGGACAGGGTTGTTGCTTATCCTTGATTCGCTTCCGACCAACAACACTTTCACCTTCTCTTCCTTTCTGATCATTCATACCCTCCTTTCCTCTCTTCTATTATCTTCTCCAAATTCGATTCTAAATTAGGAATTCGGATGCTTCTTCTTGTGACTGTCTTGTTATCATTCTCCAACAACAAAAAATGAGGAATTGTTAGTTTCATTTCATTAATTAAATAAAGAGTTCCTCCCAGTATTTGTCGCCGATGCAACACCCTCTCAATCTCATTTTTAGCAACTCCCTCTCCCTCCGTCTACGTGTCGCAAGCGTACTTGCGCTCGCATTGTTTCGGTGGGACCCCTTTTTCTTTTGTTTTTTGTGTCCTTGTCAGTGTTGTACCATGTTTCATTGCCATGCTTTTGCCTCCACAATCAGATATTTCTTCTCAACGCCATCCACGTTCATTTTACACTACCATTTTTAAAAGAAAAAACATTATTTAATATAGTTAAAATATATATATTTCTCTGTTTTAAGTTATTTATTTTAATTCCTTAAATTAACTGTGCTCCCTCACGTCTTGAATATAAGAAAAAAGTAAAATAAAATTATGATGGTCTAAAGGGACAGTATTGAAACGATTTTAAAAAATTAAGAGATTAAATTAAACTTTATAAAATAAAAACTACATTAAATAAATAGAGACCAAATTAGTAACTTGGATAAAAATAATCGAATGGTATAATAATTAGTGAGAATTAAATTGGTGTTAAAAAATAAAATATTTAATATTTAATGTCATCCATACATTTTTATTTTCACCTTATTTTTCAATAATAAATTTTATATGTAATGAGTTGCTAACCATGAGATAAGTACAAAACCGATAATAAGAGATTTCAATGCGAGAAATTGCGGGAAATGCAAGACGCGACCCGTACCAAGCTGCTTACCTGTCAGTATCACAATCATATTGTACAAAGAAATTATAGAAAGCTTTATATTAAGAATGTATATTTGTCCAGTTAATTTAAGTACAGTGTAGATTTCAAGATGGACAAAGGCACACCTGATTCCCATTACCCAGATTAGTCATCAGCAAAGTATCTCTCTTCTGCATCAATATTGGCCTCCCTCTGCCAATGATCGTCAAGGGTCTCATCATTATCTATTTTAGTGTAATCTAGATGTTCGCGATCTTCCCCTAATAGAAACTTCTGCTGCATAATGTAGGTGAATTGATTCATCCGCTCCTCCAATTCTTCTGCAGATAAAGTTGGTTCCCGACTCACTCTGGCTGGATCGGATGCGGCATTATCAATCACATTCGCCTCATTCAGGTGTCTCTGCCAAGTACCAAATAAGAAAATAATTATTCAACTCTACAGAACATACAGTGACCAATATAACACTAAACTCCCCAAGGCCAAAACATGAGGACTGGGAGCATTGAATCCGAAAACATTACACATAGTTTCATTAACACTCAAACTGTTTAAAACAGATAATTCAAGTCAGAGATTATAATAATAATATTGGAAGACAATCCGTAAAACAACACTAACAAAACATCACATTGCTTCAAGGTTTTGAAGACAACACAGGTCCATCACTGGATTGCCGTAATTATTGGGAACATAAGCTAGTTGTTAGTGACAATGATAGTAAGCACACAGAAATTACTACATTAAATATTTCGCATATAAGATCACTCCATGTAAGCTACAAGCATATAATACACAATTACGTGGGTCAAATCAAATGTAGAAGCTTATCAAAGGGATCACTTGCAAGCTTGTGCCCTAGCATCTAGTCCAAGGGATCACTGCCATCAGAAGTGGATAATTGACCTGCTTCATCCAAGATTGTTTTACTACCACATTTAGAACTGCTATCCTCAGAATTCTCTCCCCTAGCACTTCTGTTTATTTGTCGTTTATTGTCAACAATGATACCTTGCTGCTGCATCCATCAGAAGCTGTTTAAACCCTTCAACTTCCTTTACACTCCCTTTATCTCAGACAATTATGAACCATGACCGCAAGTCACTTTCCTCAAAGATTTCTATCGAATGCACCAAAGTTTCAACTCAAGATTCATTCCATCTCCCCAACTTAGGAATCCAGCAGGTTAGATCAAATTTTTATGAACAAACAGAAACCTGGTATCTTACTAAGAGGAAATAGGGATAAACTCCATTACAAGATGGAAAACTAGAGAACTTTGAGAATCAGCACTTCCCAATGCCTGAAGGCCCCAATTCTCTCATAAAACGACATGTCTCTCACTCCCAACCTCTCCTCTTATTTATAAGCAATATGCCTTATTTCTTCAAACTGTCTAATACTCTAATCCCAACTAACTTACTTTATCACTAACAAACATCTAATATGAACCAGCAAATAAGAACAGAGAGAACATATTGAAGATATAAGAAAAAGAACAATTTTACTATTGACAATGACAACGGCAAACTCAAAGCAGAACTCTCTTCCCTTTCAATAAAGGGTTTCCCTTTTTACAACTGGGTCACTGCCCAGTTTTCTCACACTAACAAATCTGATTCTCCCTTCTAACCCTTTCTACTATTTAAGCTAAGCCTCCTGCATCCCAACTATCACCACTGGACTAATTCTTGAACAACTGTGTAACTCATTCCATAACTTCCTGGGTCCCATCAGAAATATCAGACAATAACTTTTAAATGATGCACAGATGATTGCTGCTCGGCACAAAATAAATATTAATTGCTCTCCATCTTATTTTGAGAGACCAATCCAAAATCAATATGAATGAGATACATCATCTTTCTCTTGATATGTAAAGATTATGCATGGTTTCAATTCAAATAAAAATTACAATATGCAGAAGCAGATTATCAATTCTAAATGTGGTGAAACTAATTTAAGCAGATATTAAAGAGCATAAAGCAAACTTTTGTGACTTAACGGATTACTGATAGCAATCTCACTAGTCAATAGCTGACACTTGTCCTGTGGAGAAATGGATGGAAATGTTCATGCTACTGCATCAACCATAACACATTGATCTAATACCTTTATAACTCATGAACTTGCCAAACTAAATTTGTACATGTCCAGTCTAAATCTGTGCATCAATGGAAGATGATGACAAATTTATCAAATTTGGATTTTAAAATATTATGAACAAGGTGATAATTAAATGGTAACACCAAAAACATCCACCTTAAAAAGTCAAAAGGTTATTAACCTATTATGATGATACAATACAAGATATATGATAAAACAAAAAGGGGCTAGTTATTTCCCTTGATGTGTATTTGTATTGTGTGGCACATGCTGAGAATTTGTTACTCGACTTCTCCCAAGTTACCCCAAGTCCTAGACCAATTTTTGATGATTAGCTTTCTTGATTTTGTAGAAGTAAACAGGCTAACTTGTTGTGGCAACGCACAAACTGTGCTGCTTCAATAGTTCAGTACATTTAATTGGACCAGAACCAGAACTCTCACATTCTAAGTTTCCCTTAGCACAACACTTAATTCGGGAAAAGATTAGGCATTTGGTGCCTCGGTGGTGTAAAGCAAGTGGCCTTTTTAACAGCTTAGTTCTTTTTATTTTTCCTCAATTGTTTTCTGTTTTGTTCTCTTCTTTAGGAGGATTCCCTTCCTTCCCCATCGAAAATTTTCTCTTCATCTTATTTATTCTTACATGCCATTTAAACAACAACAATAACAATAACAATAATAGTTTTATCCCACTAGATGCAGTCGGCTAGAACATAGCTCTTATGCTAGTTAGAACAAAAGAAAACAATGATAAACTAGTACCTCTACAGGCTGTCCATTGCTACTGCCTCTTCTCCTCTCTTCATCCACCTCCTCATCCTCTTCTTCCTCTTCCTCCTCCTCTTCTTCCTCCTCCTCCTCCTCTTCTTGAAACCTCTCATTACCGACCCAATCCCTTTCCGGCACACCCATCCTCTGCTGCTCCCCTCTAATCTTAGCAACTAGCGCCGCTTCCTCGCACCTCCTCATGAGCGTCTCCGACCACCGCTCCCCCGGCCTCGCCATGCCTCTCCCGCTCTGGTCCTGAAACTTGCCCACGTACTCATGGTGTAGATACGGCTCTCTCTCCCTCATCGCATCCTCGGAGAAGTAGTGCCCCGCGCACACCAGTTTATCCAAATAGGCCCGCCTCCGGTTCTTCACCGTCACCGACCTCAGCCTCAGCTCCTCCGACGTCGGACTCATTATGCTCCGCAGCCGCTTCACGTGCCAATTAATCTCGTAATCGTCTTTCATCGAATCGAATTCACTCAACTCGTTGCACGTGAGTTGCGAGCCGTATCGTTCTACACACACATAATACAACAATACAAACAGTTTAGGTGTTGATTCTATCATCCATTTCGTAGCTTAGGGTTTGTTTGCAACATCGAGAAACTGAAAAAACGCGAAGTGAGAGGTGAGTGTTAACCGACCTAAGAAAAGAGCAACGTCTCTTGAGAGAAGGTCGCGGAAGATGGCCTTGCGTTGAGAAGGGAGAGTGACGGTGGATTGAAGAGCGCGCGGAAAGTAAAGGTTCTCCAAACATGACAGCCTCTCTGATATTCTCTCTTTCGCTTCCTCACTCATCGTCGTCGTCTTCGTCTCTTTCTTCTGCTCCATCTCTTTGTTCTGTAATTCTGTGTTTTTTTTTCAAACAGAGCAAAGCTTTTATAGAGGCCCGTTTTCTGCTCTTGGCCCACTCGTCTCGGCCCATTTTGTTGGGTTTCGAAAATAGTTTTCGCCTGTAATTTCTACTGCAATAATTTTACTAGCTACAAGATAAAATGTAAATCCTGACTAAAAAATTAATGATGAAATATAAATGAAATAAAAAGTGCTTCACTCATTTTGTCGATTGAGTAATTAGTATTTGCTTCATTTTATTTTAGACATAATTATGGTACAATATTTCTATTTTGAATCCTCTAAGCCCAAATCTAAAATTATGAAAACATAAAACATAGATGAGTTTTATATGCTCAAATATAAATAGAGATAGAGTAATCAGTATATGTTCCAATAATGTAAAAAAAAAAAAAAAAAAAAAAAAAAAAAAAAAAAA